AAAACTTGAGCACTGTGGTAGTAAGTAATTCCATATTAGCTTGTTTATTAGATATATCACACAGTGAAACAGTATTATTTACTGGATGACACAGTTTTGAACAAAATTTATTGTTCATAATCATATCAACTGTAATCACACGACTTTGACACTTGAGTTTTATAGTTTTCTTTGTTCTCTCCTATTTGTCGTAGGGGGAGTAGAATTTTCCAGATATCTGGGACAGGTGTTGAATCATTCCTATTACATGTATTTGTAGTTGATTCGATAAACAAAGCTTCTGTTATCAATCTCTCCCTATACCTTGTGACATTAGATTTTGAAACTGTCATGCTATCCCATCCTATTGTATGGTTCTGTGTGACTGCATGTAGTGCTATAGCTGAACTATTCTCTAGATTTCTTATCTTATTCGGGTCAACTAATCTAGATTTTGCTTGGTTTTTATGCTCAGCTAGTCTGACTGCCCCTGTTCTACTAGTTTGACCTATGTATTTGACCTGACAATAATTGCAGGGTATTAGATAAACTAAATTGTTTTGTCTTAAAGGCTCTACAGGATCCTTTAACCGACAAAGCTTGCTTCTAATTGAGTTTGTGGGTTTGAATGCCATTTTTATTCCTGCCTTGTTAAGAATTCTGTGTAAGGTTTCCGAGGTTCCTTCCTTGTATGGAATTACTACTGATGATTTAGATTCCTTATTATTGGTGTCGTCATTAATATTATTATTATCATCACTATTATTATTATCACTATTATTGTTATTATCACTATCGCTACTATCATTATTTATTTCATTTTTACATTTCCTTACATATTTCTTGACTAATTTATCCGGGTAATTATTAAGTTTCAAAGCTTCTTTTATGTGTATCAGTTCCTGTTTTAGATTTTTTTGGTACTACTTGGTTTTTGTACTCTGTCATTTAAACATTTCACCAATCCTATTTTTACTGACATAGGATGGGATGATCGGAAGTCTAAATATGTGTTTGGGTGTGTGGGTTTCCCGTAAATACAAGTGTTTAACTTCCCATCTTCTTTCCTCTTTACGCTGCAATCTAACATTGGCAGCTCCCCTTCCTGATTTTCCAATTCATAAGTGAATTGAATTGCTTCAACCTTCGAGTTGATGTGTTCGAGAAACCTATATATATCTTGTATTTTAAGTACAATGAATGTGTCATCTACATACCTCCACCATACTTTTGGGATGGGGTGAACGTTTCAATCGCTATGCTTTCCCACTTATCTATGAATATATCTGCTACAACTGGGGATATTGGTGATCCCATGGCAACTCCTTCAGTCATTCAGAAACTTCGAAACGTCATCCAGTAATTAATACTGTTTCACTGTGTGATATATCTAATAAACAAACTAATGTGGAATTACGTTCTAAGACTTTTGTATTTACTTTTGCATTAAATATACCAGCCGGCTTCACTACTAACACCAGGAATTGGCTTTACAAACTATAAAACTATTCATATAATTTAAATAGTTGTTACTTGAAACTAACCAAATAAAGAGACTTTCAATTTATTTCACTACTAATGCTTCATATATTGTATGGCAGGAAATGAACTAGTTTCATATACTTCCCACTCTCAAAGAATAGGTTTGTGACTTTGAAAGGAATGTCCTTTATTTTGAGATTCCAATCCTTACTTGCAGTTGCAAAAGTGAATAGTGTACTGGAAAACAAAGAACTCATATTTAAGGCGGTTTCGTTAAATTTTGAATCGAATTCTAGCTAAAAGAGAGTATAATATTTTATGGCATCCAATGTGAGTATATTTTGAAACATCAAATTGACTAAGCCAACTGACTTTGAAATGAACAGGATTTCCCGAATATAATTTTAACTGTGATAGAACTATTGTATTGTTTTGTTAAGAAATCTGTTTAGCATAAATGGCACACATTAATGGCTCGATGTTAAGATTAGAAATTACTTTAGTTAGTATATATAACGTTCAAGGAGATATTTGTTAAATCAGCGAAATAAGATGAAGCAGATTTCAATTCTGATCAAGAACTGGTTTCTTCTAGAGAACCAGTGGAGATCACGGAATACTGGGCAGGTGTTTCGTTCTAGTTTCGGCCGCTACCATTTGACCTAACCTTGACCTCACCAAGGATCAAACCCAGGAACTTAAGGTTACAAGGTTATCTCGTTGAGCATTGTAAAGTAGAGCCTCAATCTTGAGCCTTGAGGTTTCAATAGTAGTGGTGTTTTTTACACTGTAGAATTGTTAGCCTAATGTCCAACCTTCCCTCTTTATTGGGTGTACAACCGGCTAAGGGATATAGTGTGTGCCGGTCGGGAATCAAACCCTGGAGCACATAAAACGTGATTGGTAAGCACTCTAATGGTGAACTAGTGACGCACAGAACAAGACAGCTGTCCAGTAATTCTTCGTTTTCAGGGTTTCTCTAGGTGAATTCAAATTCTGATTAAAATTAAAGACATCAGATCCCTAAAAACTAATACTAGATAAAATAGAACCAAGCGTCTTCTTGAAATCAAAGGGAAAAAAGTCTATAAATAAATTTGTGTATGTTTTCAGGAATAATTTTGATATGTATGTGAAAGTGTTCACCTTAGCAAATTCAAGGATTAAAGGGATTTACGTAACACTCCAGGGTTCTTAGGCTAAGTAGCTTATTATTATTATTACTAAATTATTAGTTGCATCGTGTCATAAACTACTGACAGTAAAGCTTTAACTGGAATCTAAGAACTCTTCAGATAATTCATGTGACAATCGTGATATTTGTGACACTCATACAGATGTGAATGAAGTCAAAAAATCATGCTTGCTAAACTTTTTTTGAAAGAAAATGTGCCTTGATAAACTTTTCTCGCTGTGTGAATGGCATACAACAAGGTATACTCATAAATTAATAAACAACATATTTGAAGACATCAAATTCACGAGAGAAGAAGAATTAGATAACAAAATCCCATTTTTAGATGTCTTAATCAGGAGAGCCAACACAGGAGATTTAGAGACACAAGTATATAGAAAATCAACGCACACACAGATCAAATACTCAACTGTACTAGCAATAATCCAGTTACTTACAAACGGAACTGTGTGCAGACATTGTTTAAAAGAGTTCAGACACATTGTAGCACTTCAGAGTTGAAAAGAATGGAAGAAAAGTACCTACAAACGGTCTTCAAAAATAATGGTTATCCACAAAATTTCATCAAAAAGTGTTTAAAGTCGAATCAAACACCAACAAAGAACCATCACCAAAGACCACAAGAAAATTCATCCTACCATACATGAGAAATATCTCTGAAATAATAGCTAGAATACTGAAACTGTTTGATATAGATATAGCACACAAGCCAGTCAAATCGCTTAATTCGATATTATGCAAACCAAAAGATCCAACAGAAAAAGGAGATAAAATTAATACCATTTACAAAATAAATTGTATGAACTGCAACAAACATTACATCGGCCAAAGTGGGCGTCCCATTCAAATCAGAATCGAAGAACATAAATCAGCCGTGAAAAGACATGATATGTATTCTTAAGTATCAATGCATACAGACAAATATGGTCATCAATTTGATTGGGATCATGTTAAAATCTTAGACAGAGGAAACACGAAAAGTGCCAGAGAATTCCCAGAAGCCTGGTACTCAAGCGAAAATGCAATTAACAATCACGTTCATATAAATGAAATATACCAAGTAATAAAAAGTAAATCAGGTGACCAAAATGTTTAAAATCCAAGTCAATAGAAAATGGTCAATACATATGTAAAGATAGTAACCAGGAGACGCAATTACATCACTCATGAAGAAATGTAAGTCATTTAACTTTATGCTAAATATTGCGCTGAAGATGTTGTCGAGAAGGACGACGAAAGCTTCGCAACTAAGCCAACCAGCTCAGAGAACACTATTAATTGCAAAACAAGGTAATCTCTTGTAACCTTGTAACCAGAAGGTCCTGGATTCTAATCCCGTTGGGTGCGTACTGATGAAGAGTCCCAAACTAGGACGAAACAACTGTCCAGTACTCCCAGGTTTTCCAATGGTTCTCTAACTAATGTCAGCTCATGATGAAAATCCTGTAACCAATCAAATCCCTACAAACCAACACTTGAAGGGTAATCTCTGTTGATGAAACGTGAAATCGGTAGTCATTCAATTCGATTATAAGTATACCATAAATTCAGCACAGGGTATATGTAAAACTGGATATCATGAACTTTCAAAATATCATCAATTACTAGTTGTTTAATGAGTAGGAGTGATGCCAGACAAGTGATTTGTATTTGTAAAGTTACCTTAGAGTTAGGCAGAGTACTGATCTACTGTTTTCCATTATATTATTATATTATTATTGTTTCCTTTAATTCCTAGAGGAACATAGGGCTTCAGTCGTGCGTCTCCATTGCGTTCGGTTCTCTGCTAGAGTTTTCACCTGGCTCCAAGTCTGCCCACACGTTTTCATCTCCTCTTCACATGACCTCCTCCAAGTCACCCTTGGACGACCAACTCGTCGCTTCCCTTTCGGGTTCCACTCGAGGGCTTGTCTAGTGATGTCACTTGATGGCTTCCTTAGAGTATGGCCAATCCATCTCCATTTCTTCCTGCCTATTTGTTTCACAATTGGTTCCATACTATAGTATTAATTCGATGAATATTTGCCTCTAATATAATTCCTTTAGTAGTTTGTAAAATTTGCCACATGCAAATGACGATTTGAAAAAGGTTCGTGTTGCTTATCAAGTAGAAGGGAAGACTTCTTTTCTGAGTTGTTGCCTTAAATAATTATTACAACTGTGCAAATGAGATATTTTTCGCTAAACACCATTAATCATCAGATACCTGCATTCATACTCTAACTTCAGGCAATATACGCTGGTGAATGCAAGAAATCTAAATGTACATATCACGAGTTTCAGACTTCAGATTCTGGTATACCCCTTTAATGTTAGTTAGCAGAATGGAAAAACTGTAGCTTACATCTTGCATTTCTTTTTCTGTGCGTATAACTTCCATTTTTCTACCCATCACTCTTCTTGATCGTTTTTGCATTGCTATCCGAAATTCATACTGTTGCTTTTTATGCATCATTAGAGCTGAAAAAGAGAAAGAAACAACAACAACAAACTGTAGGTAAACAGACAGGTTCCAGTTATGCATAATCAGACCAAAAATCAGACAATAATATTCGATAAAGTTATCACTATGAAAGATACTAAAATTTTTGTTGTTGTGTCAAATTAAACATACATTAGTGAGTAATCACTCAATATTTGGAAAACAATTTTATTTGGTGTGTGTGTGTGAAAAATGTTTACAAGAGAAAGTGGTGTATTTTATTTTTTAACAAACAACAATTCGGAAAAAAACGGGGCTGACTTACAATGAGTTTCTATATTAGATAGTTGGAGGTAATAGGCAGGAAGCTTAGGACCTAGATTTCCTGCTAGCTGGCACTCACCAGTTAGCAAGGCGTATCTGCAACCTCGAAGGTCCCTTCTGAGATTCGAACCCATGTGACCCAGTCCTGCAGTCAGAGTCGATACCACTGAGCTACTCGGGCACGCGACTGGCCTGCTGTAGGACTGACTGTATTGCATAGTTTGATTGGACACTAGTTGGTTACCAGTGTCAGGTGTCTAGTCTTCTCTTTGGTGCAGATTTAATTCTGTCAGACAGGTTTAAATTATTATTGTTCCCTTGGGTTCCTAGTGGAACATAGGGCTTCATCTGCACATCTCCACTTGTTTCTGTCTTCTGCTGTACTTTTCACCCGCATCCATGTTAGTCCTTAATGTTTCAGCTCTTCTTCACACGATCTTCTCCATTTCACCCTTGCACCGATGAACCACTAGCCGCTTCCCTCTCGGGTTCCACTCCAGCATTGGCCTGACGCGCGATGTCACCCAGCGGCCTCCTCAGCGAGTGTCCAATCCATCTCCACTTTCTCCTGCATATTTGTTCGACGATTGGTTCTTGTTATGTTTGTTCCCATAGTTCCTTGTTGATGATTCTTTCCGGCCATCTGATCTTCAGATAAAGTTCTGCAACCTGTTGGAAATATTCTTTGTGACCCGCCAAGTTTCTGATCCGTATAGAAGAACTGACTTGACGTTTGTATTGAAAATCCGAATTTTGTTGTTGATGCAGAGTGACGAAGCTTTTCAGATTGGTTTCAGGTTGATGAATGTGTTTCTCACCTTTCCGATTCTCGATTTGACATCTTCATCCGTTCCTCCAGACAGGTTTATATATATGTATCTATTTACGCAACCACGACCTTATCTGGGATCGAACCCGAGGACTTCAGGTCAGAAGAGGAGTTCTTTGAGCATTCAACCACTGGAACTAAATGCAATGACCTGTAAATTCAGAATTCTGCTAATTTACGATTTGAGCTTTAAGTATTTCAACTTATTGTGTATTTTGTTAGACTGAAGAACTAGTAGAGACGTTTTTATATAACATTGAGTATGTGAATACATTTTTGTCGTAACGCTTCCGTCTTTTTGTGGAGATGGTGGATTCGGAATCTGGGTCTTCTGGCAATACAAAGAGGGCACGCTACCACTGAGAAACATTTGTATTGCTAAAATTTGACGCTAATCGTCCAATGGATTCAAGTTAACAGAAACTACCTGCTTAGTTTAATATGGTTTATGGCGTTCCTCTTTGAATTAAAATCATAGTGTTGAAGTTCGTTTCTTGTGGAATATATATATATACTTTATGTTTTATTTTCTTATGTGTTGAGTGTTAAGGTGTTGAATTTGATTGCGCCTCTGGTTTACTGGGTTAAAAGTAATCATTCATCTTGCCTTTCATTTTCAACCAACTTTAAAGTGCTAATTTCACTGAACGTTTTATTTATGCTGAAATACTGATAGATTTTACCCATTTGGACCGAAATACTACAGGAACCTGTTGTATTAAATTATTTCTAACATTCTCAAGACTTAATTTGTAGGGATATGATTTGTTGCAAGTTCGATCACGGAATGATATCAGTTACAGAACCATCTTAAGACCACAAGAGAGTATTGGAGAGCCGTTTCGTCCCAGTCTGGGACTCGTCGGTGGCACCCACTCACCGAGGTTCGAACCAGGACAGTCCAGTCACAAAGAAAGCTCGTAGACTATCTAGCCACTGGGACCCGATTCAGTGGCCATTCCGTGAATTCTAACTTCTACCAGTTCGTGTTTTTAGCTTGACCACCAGCCTGTGTCACTGACGAGTATTTATCTTTATTCCTGACCAAGAGGACCCTGCTGGTAACAAGAAATCTGGGCAATTTCTTCCTCTAGTCAGTCACTAGCGAGCATCAGATTAATTTCCAAGGGTTAATTTGTAGGTATTTGATTTGTTTCAAGTTTGTTTTGTTACTCGTAAATGATTACACTGAGCACGTTATTTAAGTGAATCATTGATATATTTAAATAACATTGACAAAGGTATGACAGACTAAGTGTGAAATATGAATGACCGCCTTCAAGCCATTTGTAAAACTGATCATATGTAAGTGATAACGAGAGAAATAACTAACTGAATCTATCCTCGTTACTTCTTCCCAATTAAATTGCATACATTTTTAATATAAACTAGTTACTCACTGTTCATCCCTGAGTGAGTATTCAAAGGCGTCTTCAGTAATTTAAATTGTTTACTGCTACTACTAATCTCACAAATATCTAGTTAAACAGCTTGTGAGTTTCAACAAAGACTAATTTCCTGTGATTGCATCTATTAATAACAAGTCATGTAAGTGTTTTAACAAATTTCTTTAGTTTGTTTGTGAAGTTAGGTTGAAGAATAACTAAATCGTTATTTCACATATTGTATTTTCTCATTCACAGGGCTAAAGAAACATTTTTACGCCTTCCTATATTATCTTACATGTCTGATGCCATACAAACTCGAACACTTACAGGCGAAAACCAACAAACTTGCAGAATAAGCAAGCAGCGAAGACAGGCTCTCAAGTGAACATGGAGAAGACTAAGATGATGAAGATATCCACAGACCAACAACCACAACAAACACCAATCACTATCCACAGCAGAAATCTGAAAGAGGTCATATCCTTTACTTATTTGGGTAGCACCACTTCAAATACAGGCAGTCGGCACCAATGCGGATGTCATAACCAGAATCGGAAAGGCAAGGCAGATCTTCATCACTCTGCCCCACCCTGGATTTTCAACACAAGTGTGAAGTCAGTCAGTTCTCTTATATGGGTCAGAAACTTGGTGCCCTTGTTACGAGAAGCATTTCCAACAGGATTTAGACTTTTATCAGTAGCTGCCTACTTCGCTTGCTTCATTTTGAAAATCACTTAGCCAGAAAGAATTAGCAACTAGGAACTCAGGAAACAAACCAACCAACAGTCTACTACTCAACAAATGGTGAAAAGGAAATGGAGATGGATTGGACGCAAAATAAGGAAACCATAGAATGACATTGCGCTCCAGGCTATCGCTCGAGAGGAAGGTGAATTCGGGGAGAGGAGTTGAGTGTGGGTCTTAGATTGACATGAAGGAAATCGTGGGAAGACGAGATGAAAGATTATTGGCAATCGTTGAGCCAGTTAGAGAGGACTTCAAAGAATAGGACAAAATAGAGATGTGCTTTCGCAATCGTATGTTCCACTCGGAACCCAGAAGAACAATAACAATAATATTCAAGTGTTGGTTTGTAGGGATGTGATTGGTTACAGGATTTTCATCATGAGGTGACATTGGTTAGAGAACCATTGGAAAACCTGGGAGTACTGGACAGCTGTTTCGTCCTAGTTTGGGACTCTTCACAGTACGCACCCACCACCTCGGTTAGAACCCAGGACCTTCTGGTTACAAGGCGAGCTCGTATACCATTAAGCCACTGGGACCCGATCCAATGGCCAACCCATGAGTTCTAACTTCTGCCAATTCATGACATAGCGCGACCGCTAGCCAATGTCTTTGGCGAGTATTTGTCCTCACACTCGACCTGCTGCACCCTACTGTTCACGACTTCTCACTACAACCCCAGGTAACTACCTACCTGAATAGGGCAACAATATTATCGTCCAAACCTTGTATACATAACACTCAAATTGACTATTATCCTATTCATACTAACTGTCTGAGAACTACTGTATATTGTTTGCTAAATAGTGTAACAAGACTTTAAACTAAGCCCTTAAGCACCAAGTAAAACAGGTTCTCAACAGCAATCTAAAATATAAATAAGTCTAGCAGAAGTATCATATTTGTATACAGAAAGTGAAATTTTTCATTTAGAGTAAGTAATATTACGTAATGCATGACATTTTAGGCGTCATTATCAGCTTATAAACAATCATTGAACGAAAAAGTTAAGACTATTCAGCCATGTTACCGTAGTGCAAAAATAGTTCTGTAGTTATGTGCTGTTTTTTTTGTAATTGTAAAACTTCATTCTGGTTTACAATCTCCAGAGTTTCATCCCAGCAGGAATATCATTTTAGATCTAAATGTTATTTACATGAAGAACATATATAAAAAAGGGCATTTTACTTACAGACGAGCGATTGCACCAAAATCAAATATTTTTCTGAAGCAGGTACCATAGATATTGTCAACAATCAGCATGGTATGCAGTGAACCTACTGAAGTCAGTGTTTTTGTAATTATAGCCGCTAGTTTAGGAATTGTGCGTCGGTGACCCAGAGGTAGGATGCTGGCCGACCACGCATGCGGTCCAGGGTTCGATCCCCAGCCGACACACACCTTTATCTCGTTAAACCAGTAATAAGATTGGTTAAGAGGGAAGGTTGGATATGAGACTAGCAACTTCATCCCACAAGAATAAACACCACTGCTACCGAAAAGTCAAGCCTCTAGCTTGAAGCCCTATTTACCACTGGGAACGTAAAGAAGTAAAGAAAAGTTTAGGAATTAACAAAAACTTACTCCAGCCACAAATTTCACTACTATTGTAACGACAAAAGGCAAGGGCCAGGCAACAGATCGTTTATTGAGAAAATCAAGAGGTATTTATAGATTTTTATGTGCATTATTATTAGCGTTATTGTTATCAGAGACGTAACCTCTTCTAATTGGTTGTTTTCTTGCTGAAGGTTATTCTGTTACCTCTTTGTGGCCGTTTCTCAGAAAATCAAGTCATATATCTGTGAATCATATTTCAATAAACTTTAACTCCGCCGTGATTGGCTGATGATTTTCTCAAGGTTAGCTTGGTTATTGTTTTTCTCATGACCCTGATTCGGGAAGTGAACACTGACGTATATTGTTGTCCACAATTTTGGCTTGCAGACAGCTCTCACCACACTATGATATTGTCTGGTGGTTGCGTCATATATATATATATACCATGAAGTGGCAGGAGTTGTAATTCATAGGATAAGGTACCAGTGGCTGAATGGTCTACAAACTAGCCTTTTAGTCTTAAGTTCCTAGGCTCGAACCCCGATGGGTTCATACTGACCAAGAGTTCCGAACAAGGGTGCAAAAGCCATCCTTTAATCCTCAGTCCCCCAGTGATTCTCTAGCTGATGCTCACTCGTGATCAAACCAGTAACCAACCAAACCCTTGCAAACCAACATTTAAGTTTTGTTTACTTTGATGAAGGGATTGCAGAAGACCAAGGTAAACACCGTCCTCGATTCTGAATAGGATAGCATGCTTGTGCAGCATGCAAACGAACTGTTTGCTAAAAATAATACCTTTCAACAGTGATATGGAAATCTTCATATTTGGTTAGTATATTTTTTGGAGAACTGATGTGGTATCACCATTACCTATTGTTACGCTTAAAACCTTTCAGGACTGTACACTGTCTAGACTTATAAAAATGTCATTCAGAATGTATTGTAAAATGGTTTGTGGTTTTACCACCTAACGCGTTTAGTACACGTTCACATCCGCACGCCTTCTCACCTGGCTGTCATGTATTTCTTAATTTGCATGATGTAACATTTGCTGAAGAAAATTTGAATCAAACAAAAGTATATATGGACAATGAATGTCACTCAAAAAATAAATTCATAACAACATTTCAGCACTTCGAAAATTATTCTTCTCTGTCTGATTCTGATGGTTAGAAGTTTATTCAGCTTGATGCATGAGTAAATAACATTAGTAGACACAAACTAGTTTATAAGTTTTAAAGTGATTTTCACATTCCTATTTAAGCATTAACATTAACAACAAATTAAACAAAGCAATCGGGCGTGCAATCAGGCGAGTTTATCGTCGAATTTCTGATCACCTCCTATCTTGGTTTGGCAAAGGTCCAAATAAAGCCACACGCAGCTTAATACTAGCTCATCTCGTCGATACTGGAAATCAGATGGACTCTAACAAAACTTTTAAAGTTATTTATCGTATTTCATCCAACATATCGCATGGTCTACGAATATGACTTTTACATAAAGCAGAGGTAATCAAAATTCATCTGAACAAGCCTAATCTGTGTGTTCAAAAGAAGTTTGTACAGCCTCTCACTTTGCTATGGCCAACTAAATAATATGTATTAAGTTTTTAAGATTTTTTCCCTCCTCGGGTAAGTGTCTTTTCACTTTGTTAATTTTTACAATTTTAGCTAATTCTATTAACTTGTTTGTATTTTACGTAATTCTTCTGAGTCATCCTATTCCTCTTAGTCATCATTGCTATTTTACAAATTTCTTGATTATGTGATAACCTTTTATTAAAGCGTATGAATTAATTTATCTTGAACTCCGTAAGTAATTTTCATCCTCCCACTCTAAAACTTAGATATTTTGTTACTAATATCTGCTAGTTAATTGTTTTTATGAATATTGACCTCTTCACTTCATCCCCCAATACCTAAAACTGATTAACTAAATTAACCACTTGACTGGTGAAAATTGTTCTGTAAAAAGCTAAACATTAGTTTGGAGCCAATGATGATGAACTAACTGGAAAGGAATATTTTTTGCTCTCAGTTTGTAGTTTTACACAGTTTCACTCGAATTAAACGGTCTGTTATCCATAAGCGCATTCAACCAACAACGAACAAGTAGAAATTGTTTGTTGCTAAAGATACAAACATCGAATTCGAACAAGATAGAAAAGACTTCATCGAAGTAAACTTTTATTTCCTTGCTGAACAGCTGTGAAGTACTCGGCACAGTTCAGTTGAACAATGTGTCCAACGAAGCGGTCAAGTAAGAACTTTAACTAATGCATTACGGACATCAGTTTTAATGAGTGAGCAGTCGTGAACAGTGAGGTACATCCAGTTGGGAGTGAGGATGGAATAAGCACCATTTACATCATATATTATTCAAGTTTGACCACTGAATGATATCAGTTAGAGAACTATTGAAAACCAGCATGGAGTACTGGACAGCTGTTTCATCCTAGTTTGGGAATCGTTGGCAGTAGGCACCCACCACAGGCAAGCTCGTACACCATTCAGCCACTGAGGCTCAATTCAATGGCCACTTCATGAATTCTAATTTCTACTTATTCGTGATTTTAGCGCAACTCCAACCAATGTCATCGACGAGGACTTGTCCTAACGTCTGACCTCTCAGTAGAACTTCAGTCAGCTTCGTCCTGTAGCCAGCCAACAGCAAACATGGGATTAATTTACAAGAGTTTATGTATAGGAATCTGATATGTTTGAAGTTTGCTGACGGATTGATAGTAGTTAGTGAATCTTTGAGAAGTCGTGACTAGGTCGGGTGTGAGGACAAGTGCCCTTGCCGATGACATTGGCTAGTGGTCGCATTAAAATTCTGAACTGACAGAAGCTGGAATTATTCGGCTGCTGGTTATCTTCTCAGTGGCTTAATGATCTACGAGCTTGTCGTGTGGCTGAAAGGTCCTGAGTCCGAACCCTAGAGAATGGGTAATGCTGAAGAGTCCCAGCCAGGAGGAGAAAACAGTTCAGTACTCCTCGGTTTTCAATAGTTTTGTAACTGATATCAATCTGTAATCAAACTTGAAACATATTTAGTTTTAGTATCTGAGAGTAGGAAATTCTTAAGAAGCAGAGCTCTTTTATTTCTGTATTCACATTCTTCATTCTATTTACTTTCAAATGATTATTTATTGATGCTGTTTAAAAGAAATCAAATATTACCATTTTCAGTAGGCAAGACAAATCATCATAAAATTTCATGTACAGGATCCATCTTTTGAAGGTAAATAGAGGATCAAGTGAACTGATTTGAAATATAAGCATTCAACATTTATTTGCATTTTTTTCAACAATATATTCACATACCATTTATTATTCGTATAATTCTCCACAATAGAAGTACAACCATTGCAGCTGCAGTTTCAGATACATAACGGACATATAATACATCGGAGGCAAGTGATGCTACTATAATCGCTCCATCAAAATACTAAAATAAAGAGAAAAAAGTTTAGGGATTTAAGGTATTTCAATAAACTGGCAATAATAAAAGGAAGATACTTAACAAAATTAACAATTTTCTTGTTTCAGTTTTTAAATTTTCTTTACTAACGGATAATTAGTTAGAGAGATCATAGAGAAACAGAGAACACTGGGAGGCCGTTTCTTCCTACTTTTAGGACTATTCATTATCCTATAGTCTGGATATCAATCACCAGCTCACTGGTAGCTACTTGATTGAATTCCTGAAGCTGCAATGCAAAGATGTGACCATTTGGATCTGCTTTCTGTCAAGCTGAAGTGGGTTCCCACCGAAGGCGTTGGTTGACGGTAGGGCTATATCATGCGTCAGTGGCACAGTGGTTATGACTCTCGCCGACCGTGCATATGGTCCAGGGTTCGATCCCCTGCGGACTCACACCTGATATCAATGGTCGGCCTGCAGAATTTGGGCTACCGATGTCACATGCTGATAATGCCATACCTGTACCAAAAATACTTTGTGGAATCAAGCTATAATCAAAAATTCAAAAATTAAAATAAAATGAGTTGGAAAAGTTGGAATTCACGGGTGAATGGATTCCACTCCAAGTGGCTAAATGTCCAATGAGCTCTGTGTTGTAACTATGGTCTGACTACTGACTGGTTCAGGAGTATACACTACTGAAGAGTCCGAGCATTGGACGAAATAGCTATCCAGTGCTCTCAGCTGGTTTTTTGATGATTTCTCAAACTGATGTTGGTTTGTGAAATTCACATGCGAAAAGGAATCCCAAGACAGAATTGCCTTCCTGGATGTCCTACTGACAAGAAAACCAGATGGTAGCATAAAGAAAGAAATTTACATAGAAAAAGTACTTGGACAAGACACTATACACATTTTCACAGCTTCGTTCCTCTCAGTTACAAAATAAATTAAATAAAGACTCTCATTCGGCCACAAAGTTAGTTAGAGCTATATGCTCAGAAGAAGTAACTGAAGATGAATTAAGCATTGTATATGATACTTTGATCAAAAATAGCTATCCCGAAAAATTTATCAAGAAACACATGACAAAGAAAGCGGAAAAGGACTACTCGCTATCTGTAAACAAGAAGCCACTTTATATACGACTACAATTCAAGGGCGATATACCAAGTCAGATAATTACGAAGAAATTAAGAAAATCAGTTCAAAGAACTTTTAATGCTGGCGAACTACACGTATTATTCTCTGCACGACCGATGGTGCTACCTCGACTGAAAGATGAAGTACCTAGACTAGCCACTTCAAATTGTATCTACCAATTCAACTGAGCTTGTGGAGCGAGTTATATTGGCCGTTGCTCTAGGAACTTGATACTGGGTGCGTAATAAATTGCCAAAAACATCGAAGCACCGCATGCTCCAAACAGCAGAGGCTATTGCAATTCGTCTCAAGCAACCAGTGCTCTGTGTTCAAAAGAAGCAAGTCCAGCCCCTACTACTGCCCTGGCCGGCCTTCAGTAGAGACTATAAATTCATGAATTTGTAATATTATCTTTCCTAATTTTTCTGACATTCAGTGTATTGTTATGTTGATGCTATTGAACTGTAATCTATCAGTATTATTGATTCGATGTTATTTAAACAACATTAATGTTGTTCATAACACTAATTCATTCATTCACTATAATGTGTATATATAACTGTAGAGCCTGATGATGAACTTATTGAAAAGAGTACTCTTTGTTCAGTATCCATTCTTTTGAAAACCTAACATTTGGAATTTATCCAAATACCCCACAAAATTTATAATCTGAGTTCTTTTGATGCTTCAGATTAAACACGCACGTTTTGCAGTGTGACATCATCAATAATCGGAAAAATGTCAGTTCGCTACCTTTTTAAAATTTTTAATATAAATTTTCGACTCATTAAAAATTACGTCACTGTCCTTCTTCCTATAATAAATTTTGACTTAGCATTTGTACACCCTAATTAACTTATAATTTCTTCTAACTAACGTTTACTGGATTTAATTTTGAAATCCATTCAGTGTTTGATATATACGGTTTTCTGAAAGAACTTATGACGGAATTTGACTAACAATCATGCTAATAAATGAATCGGTCATAAAGTTAACCATACGTCTTTCAGCAATATAAAGTTTTTCATTGTTGACTGTCAAATTTTAAATTGTTCGCTTATAAATAAGGCAAGGACTTTTGTTTTAATTAGTTAATTGTAGCTTATGAGATATGATAGGATAAAGAAGGCAGTTTCAAGGAACAAGAACTCTAAAATTCCTCTTTTTTTAAGATCAGTGTAAAAGAGGATTTATTTATTGATGGAAAATTTTTAAAAGCGGTTCTTTTGAGTCTCTTTTGTTTCTAATTCATCATTTACACGATTTCAATATAGCAAAAACATTCATTCAGACATCTATAAAACACAAAATAATCGAGCAAAGAATATCCTTTTCGATAATTTCCTCTTCTGGCTCTACAATTATATATATGTTTATATACATAGAATATTCTAGATTAGTAGTCAATAACAATATTAGTGTTTTTTAAATAATATCGATTTGTAAAGTAAGATCAATGGAATTACAGTTCATTAAAGATGCTTAAATTATAATAATAATAATAAAGATATAGTAGCAAATAGAATATCAACTAAAATTAGGAAAATTCCACGAAAATTGAGGATCATTCAAACCTAGATGGCCAAGGTAATGATAATGTCTGAACTAACTTCTTTTGGATGCACAAATTAGGCTTCTTAATATGGATCCCAACAGCCTCAGCAATATTTAGTAGTCGAACTCTTAAGGCAAAATTGAGATTCGTAGGTATGCGGTAAATGACCCTGAAAGCATAGTTAACGTCAATCTTGTGTTCTGTCTCCACAAGATGAGACAGAATAGCGCTGCGAATAGATTTTGTTTGTCCTTTGCTTAACCAGGCAGGGTGATGTCCGGAAATTCGACGAGATCATATTTTACAAATCGATATTATTTAAAAAAACTAATATTGCTATTAACTACTAATCTAGAATATTCTGTGTATATAAACATATATATAATTGTAGAGCCGGAAGAGGAATTTATCGAAAAGAATATTCTTTGCTCGATTATTTTGTGATTTACACGATTGCGAAATGTTTTGAGTATCAAACTGAAATCACTAGTTAGTCCAAGGAAGACTTGACAAATAAATTCACGAACAGAAATGAAATTCATTATGAAAAGATTGTTGGGTCAAAAAAAACAAATAAACTAGAAATGAAGTTTATAAAGTGTGGTTATGAAAAAAAATAATTGTTCCTCAATCTGTCAAAACAGATCAGCTTCATAGTTTGCGATTTGGATTGATAGTGTCATTCTGGGGAAGCTTTTGAAGAGACTAATTTTAGAGATATGTAATTACGAATATACTTTTGCTTTATTAAATTACAGAAAATACCCATTGAGTCATGAAGCAAATAAAAGACAATTCAGCGAAGAAAATTTCCTTTATCGACGAAATCATCTTCACAGGGTGTTATTATTATTATATCCTTTAATTACTAGAGGAACATAGGGCTTCAGCCGTGCGTCTCCATTGCGTTCGGTTCTCTGCTAGAGTCTTCACCTGGCTCAATGTCTGCCCACACGTTTTCATCTCCTCTTCACATGACCTCCTCCAAGTCACCCTTGCACTGATGACCAACTCGCCGCTTCCCTTTCGCGTTCCACTCGAGCAATGACTTGTCTAGTGATGTCACTTGATGGTTTCCTCAGAGTATGGCCAATCCATCTCCATTTCTCCCTGCCTATTTGTTTCACAATTGGTTCCACCCGAGTTGGTTCGCTCCCAGAGATCTCTGTTGATGATCTTTTCTGGCCGGCCATCTGATCTTGAGTATTGAGCGAAGACAACTGTTAATGAAGGTCTGTAGTTTGTTTGAGGTGCTCTTCATGAGGCGCTAAGTCTCTGATCCGTATAGTAGCACTGACTTCACATTGGAGTTGAAAATCCGGATCTTATTTTTGATGCTGAGTGCTGTTGACCTCCACACAGACTTGAGAGTAGTGAAAGTTTGTCTTGCTTTTCCGATTCTTGCTTTGATATCCTCGTCAGTTCCGTCCGCTTGTAGTTGAAACGATGCTTCCCAGGCTGTGCAGTAATATTTATATTTACCAAAAATGTATAATTGTCCATTTTTGAGTAATAGGGGGTGACGTAGTTGACACAGTTACTCAAAGTGGCTTTTGAAGTGAAAATAAGAAATGTAAATTACTTATTGCTCAATGGCACAAAGGAAGAAAGGGTTAGAAATTTGTTAAGGTTAAAATTGTTATTGACTGAGTAGAAAGGTAGCTGAGAGTCAATTTAAAAAGTGGGAAGACGGTGTGACAATGTTCAAAATGAACATATGAGTGTGAAAACAGTGAATTAATTATTAAAGTAAAATCAAACTGAAAGAAAAATTTAAAATTTAAAAAACAAACATAAAACAAAATTTTTTTACAGGGAACGACTAGTGAAGAGGTTAAGACCATGGCAGAATAAGAGACTGGACAAAACATTTCTGCATATAGAGTTCGGGGTTGTATTGACTAACCGCCAACGTCCCCACTATACACAAACGCCGAAACCTGACGCCCTTTTTATCACTTGGCGCTACCTTGAAGATAATCGTGAAAGGTGACTCTGGTGGAGCTACATGGCTTGGGTTCCCCAACTGCTCGACAACTGAGCTATTAATTGTTTTGCATTGAGTACTACGCAATTTACAACTTTTATGCCTTACTTCTAAAGTCACTTCTCAGTAATTATATCAATTATGTCACCCCCTATTACTCAAAAAATAAATTACTATACATTTTTCATAAATATGGATATGACTGTGCAACCTCTTAAGATGATTTCGTCGATAAAAAGATTTTCTTCTCTGAATTGTCTTTCATTATATTAGTTTATTTTGAGTCATACGAAAATGCAAACTAATGGTAGGTAAGTAAACTAAGAATATTTATTCATA